CCAAAAAAAACATATGGATGAATGTGCCCCCTGTTATGTTATTTCTAGAAATGGAAATTCTTGAAAGGATTTAATTGCAGAGAACATATGAATGCAGGTTTATGGGGTTTTACTGAACATGCAATCCAGTTTGTTGTTTAAATATGAATGTACTTAATGGTGTGACTTAGTGCATGTCATATTTATAAAATACCTTGTAATCAAACTAAAAATACTAATTTTATTCCTCTTCTCTGTTCCTCTTTCTAATCTTCTCTATCCTAACTGTGTCCCTGCATTTATTGTAACATCACTTTTACAGAGGCTAGTCATTGATTCTTTGTCCTGATTCTTTCATTTATGAATTTATAACATTCATAATGAGTACGAACATAGGTGACATTCCTTTTTTATCATGGTTAGTTTTATCTAGATTTAATCGGCCTTTTTATTATTCAGAAAAGCATATAAGAGATGCTTTAATGAAAATGCAAGACATAACATTAGAAAAGACTGAACTTATGCACATAAATATTGGTTGTGTTCACCAACTATGCATTTCCTCATCAATATAAACACATGCATCGGCTTTCTAATACATCCAAACATCATAAATTGAAATGGTGCCCCAATTACTCATCTTTTTTATCTATTACTAAGCTAAAAAGGCAATTATAAGTTGTTGAAAGTGAATTGGATAGTCCAACAAGACATCAAAAAACTTTGTAGATTATTGAATCGTCTTATTTTATTGTCTCTTTGGTTAAGAACATTTTTAAAACTTCCATAGACAATCTATTATTGTTATTCTTTTGTGATGTTTGTCTATATAGTATTTGGATAGACCAACTCAATTGATTCATGTGGAAGCCATTGATGCACAATAATCACTAAAAAGGGGGGTGTCTATGTCATTGATGCCAATTCATCGTTGCACAGTGACCATATTTAAAGACATTTACTTATGTGGTTTCGTTATTTATGTAGGGTCAGTTGAAATATTTTTATGGATGCCACGATACCGGTCAGTGTGACATCTCCCCCATGCACAACTGTAGACAGCATGAATGACACTATTGAGACCATGGAGCAGGTGCCTTATCTTATAGAAATTTGAGATGGGGAACATGGCTCAACAACCAAGGGCCTACAAATAGCAGAACCATGTGTAGGGATGCAGTTTGGTTATGAGGATAAGGCATATGACTATTATAAAGAGTATGCATTAACCAAATGTTTTGGCATCCGTAAGGGGGCTACCCATAAGAAAGATGGTCAGAGGATTGGTAGAGAGCTCAATTGTTCTAAGGAAGGGTTTCGCCGAGAGAAAGATCGGGTAGGTGAAAAGGTACACCCTGAATCAAGGTGTGGTTGTATGGCTAGGATGGGCCTAAGTAGAAATGCAAATAACGAGTGGGTTGTGACTAGGATTGTTGAAGAACACAATCGCAATTTTGTGTCTCCAAGAAAATCTCGTTTAATTCATACACATCTAACAATGTCAGACGCTACAAATTTGATGACAGGTTCAATGAGCTCGGCACTGGTGAAGGCCAGACATATTCATGACATTTTCATAGACCAATCTAGAGGGAATGATAATGTTTATTGTACACAAAAAGACATCCAAAATGGAATTGCTAACTCCAGAAGAAAACTAAGAGGAGAAGATAGAAGTCTTGTTATGCAATGACTTTATAAAATGAAAGAGTTGAACCCATCTTTTTTTATAAAGTGAAATTAGATAAAGCCAATCACATCATGAGCATCTTATGGGTAGGTTCCTTGTCTAGATTTTCGTACATGTGCTTCTCTGATGTGGTAACTTTTGATATCACATACAAAACAAACACATATGCTATGCCATTTGCACCCATACTTGATATAAATCATCATCATAGTACAACTTTCTTTGGATTTACACTCATTTTTTATGAGAAGGTTGAATCATTTGTATGGATATTTGAAAATTGGTTAGAAGCAATGGGGGGACATTAGCATGGAGTTATTCTCATTGATCAAGACGTACAATTTTGAATGCAGTGAGACGCGTTTTAGACCAAAGTAAGCATTGTTATTGTAAGTGGCATATACTATCAAAGCTTAAAGAAAAAATGTGCCATGTCTTGGGCAGGAATTTAAATTTTTCAGAGACCTTCAAGAGGTGTGTGGCTAGTGCAACAGTGAAAGCATTTGAATTGGGTTGGAAAGATATGATTGAGAATTATGGACTAAAAAATAATGAGTGGCTTACTAGGCTTTATAATTGTTGCATGCAATGGGTCGATGCATACTTAGGTGACACATTTACAACATGTATGACTTCCACTCAAAGGAGAGAAATGATGAATAAGCACCTCAAGATATACTTGGCCTCCTCAACAAGCTTACGTACATTATTATTGAGGCACATGCAGCAAAGATTTATACACAAAAGATTATGAAGCTATTTGAGGAAGAGATGGCGAATTGTATGAATTTCATGAGCGAGTCAATTGAGAATAACCTATTGCTTGCCACTTTTAAGATAGCAATACCAGGAAGTGGATCCAGATCCTACCTTGTGGAATTCAATTCCAATAACAAGAGCATTTGTTGCCACTATCACTTATATGAGAGGATGGGTTTTCTTTGTAGGTATGTGTTAAGAGTTTTATGGTGAAGAATGTATTCGAAATACCCCTGCAATATATAATAAGGTGTTAGAGAAAGGATATAAAAATGGGGTTTTTATTAATGAGAGTGGCAATCAAATTCAAGAAACATCTCAACTACCACGCTCCATTTGATATAACGAGTTCTATCAGGCAACTCGATACCTCGCTGAGCATGCTTCAAAGAGTGAATTTATAATAGCCATAATACACAACAGAATTTGTCAGGTTGATAGCCAATTCTGGAGTAAGGGAGGTCCATAGGATGATGCCACAATCAATTGTAATACTGAAGAGAATGGTAATGTCGATGAGAATGCAGCTAGTTGTAGTGACACACCAAGCGAAAGTTACCATTGCCAAAATATCCTTGAGCCTCCACGAGCACAATGGGAAGACCCACCCATTAAAGAAAGAAAGCTCGATCAGAAGGGTGGAAGTCGAAGGAAAATACCAAAAATTTCAAAGTAATATTAGAAGGGTGGAAGCCAAATGAAAACATTAGGAAGTGTGCAGTTTGCAAGGGCAGTGGCACGACAAAAGAAACTGCCAGTCATTTGTTCGTTCAAAGTAAAAATGCATACCATTAGTATATCTTGAATTTTGATTGCAAAAGCTTCTTAATTCTGATTGTAATAGAGCTTCCTTATAATTGTAGAACTTTTAAATGTAATATGAAATGCTTACAGTGCAAATTGTCTTCCTTCTTCATGGCTGTTGACAAAATGTGCCGTATGGAATGGTCTGCTAGGAATGTTGAAGAAAACCATTGATGATAAGGAGCACTATGAATTGTAGTGATTACTTGGTTTGTGTATAGTGATTGATTGTAGGGTTGGCTTTGACTTGTGGATATTGCTGAATAAGATGATCATATGATGCCAAATTAGAAGCTGCAATAGAAGTGTTTACTGGTTTTAATCCCATACTTGGAGTTCCACTCATTTGAACCTAAGACAATGTAATAATTTCATATTAATTAATAAGTAAAAACCTGGAATTAAAACCCTTTAATTTCTGAAGCATCTGCAAATTTTTCAGAATTCAAGACGAAGTAAACGAGGCTCCAGTACTACCAATTGATTTTTACTGTTTTTTATTGAATTTGAAAAAGCATTTTGTGGTCACTCTATAATTTTCCCGTGAATGTTTTGGCAGGTGGAGAATATAATGTAGTGATTGCTGGCTTGTTTGTTATTGCTTGTTGAATTATCAGTGATGGGTTGTTATTGCTTGCAGAATTTATAGAACGTGAATATGATTATTGAAATACAATATGGTTTTGTGAATTAGGTTGGATGCAACAAAGTGATATAAAATTAGCAGAAAGCAACAAAGTGATCTTCGTTGATGCATACAACAAAAGCAGATGGTTCTCGACCATCTCAGGGAACACTAGGACAAATTTGCTGCCCCGGACTCAAGATGTCTATTTTGGCTTTTTCGTTGTCTGCACTTTAGAAAAGAACATTATGGAATATATGTTCACTGTACGGGTACATGTTTCTTGACATGTCGGCATCATGGGCACCTAGAAAGGAAAGAAATGAAGATATTGCACTGCCATATTTGGGATCAAATGTTTACCTTTATAAAACTGATGTTCTTACATATGACAATCAAATTTTGTGCAATGTTGATATGTGCACCTCACATTTACTTTGCAAGCGCTGAGTTGCAAGAGTAGGTTTTCACCATAAAATTTGTGTCCATGCAAATGCCAATCACATTCGTGCAATAATATGTGCAACTCACATTTACCTTGGATTTGTTCTAGCATCTAAATGGTCCCTATGCTTGGCGAGTGCATTGCATGGTTTCTACATTTAGCATCCGTATTGGAGCATTTCAAAGGAAGGAAAACTGTATATTATGAAACATCATCGCCCATTCTAAGATCTCTTCAATTAAGTATCAATGTATGAGGTGAGGCAATAATTGATGTTGCAATTTACATGCCATGATAATTGATTAATTGAGTTGTCGTGTCTGTTTCTTTTAGACGTTTCTTAAGTCGGTATACCACATTTGATCTCTATTGTTGGATGGATGGACTAAATTTTGGAAACAGGGCTGTTTTTCTTGCACCCCTCAAATTTTGCATTTGATTAATAATAACTTCCACACTTTATCAATTGTTCTACCGTCCAAGTGGTCCCTATGCTTGGGGAGTGCATTTTGAATTTGTTCTATCGTCCAAATGGTCCCAAAATATTCGAGAGGTCAAACGCATGAAATCAAATATTTGTATGTATATGAATAGTTGTAGCAATGCAACCCAACCAATCCATATATCTAGGAGATAGTTTCGAGTTGTTTTGGGGGGAAAATGAGCAAAAGCACACAAAACAAACCTTTTCTTTGGTATAGAATAACCAAAATGCATTACTCAACTATAATTGTAATAATATTTTTTAACCTACTAACCATATTACAATACATCACCAAGACATCTACGAAAACTGAACTACATTTGTAATGATACCATGAAACAAATACACATTCCTAGGTCAACAATATAAGAACAACTGCACTTATAATAATAAATTTTAGAATGACTACTTTTTTTGGAACCGTGGCAACAACTTTGGGCTTCTCGTCTTCATATAGAGCTCCACCAGTAACGCAAGTATCTAGCCTCTGTGACATGAACCTTCTGACCACGGGCTTCCTGTCTTGGCCTAGGATCTCATCAGACCACATTAGATCGCCGCATCCCATGTCACACTAGTGGTTAACACAAACATATGAAGGGTTTTAGGTTTGTGCTTACAATTGAACAATAATGTGCTTCTACAAAGTAAGGTGCAGGTTCCATGCAAATTGTCCAAAAAATTATAAGTTAAGTTGTCGTTAACTAGTTGATGACAAAATGAATATTTCCTAACAAAGTAGAACATAACAAAAAAGTCATAATCAGTTTATAAGTAATGCAAGTTAAAGATACCAAAAACCTTTTGGCTATGGAAGTTAATTGGAAACTTCAAAGCCAAGTAATCTCTGTTAAGTATGATTGTGTGAATGACCTCATCCAAGATAACAAAAATATGCAATGAGAACTAGTGAAAACGAAAGAATTCCCACAGTTCCAAGTAAATGGCATAACAGGGACTATGCAGATAGTTCTTTGTTCATAGGATTGCAAATTTGGACTATTCACCACAACCCCAGACAATTACATATAGAAAACTTATAAAATCTCTTAAATGTCTATATGGAAACCAATTTTACAGTTGATGGGCCATGAGAGAAAACCCTAACTCGTATCCCATGGATTCTAACCATATTTGCAAAGAATAGTCAAAACCCAATTCTCATATGATCAAACCATGTTAAACTTGCAAAACACAACATGACTGGGAACAAAAAGACCCAATAAGCTTTGATTTACAAACACAACTCGAGAAGTACTATTTCCCATATTGTGAAAAGCTAAAGAAACACCACTTAAATCCTTAATAAAATATCACTGAACAATTGTTGTACCTCTTTGAAAAGAAGCAAAAAGGGATTTAATCTTTTTTCAACCATAACCAGGTATAACAAGAAGAAACCTAATTGGAACACCGACCCCGAGAAGCCCTCAACCCAAGGGTTTATCCAATTGATATGCATCTCCTAGAATCCAAACCAAATCATCAAAACCCACAGTAGAACTGCACAAATAGATTAGATAAGAAAAACTTATCAAACCTAAACCCCCGTGTCCATTCCCTTGTGTGAATCTACTGTAATGAGCATGAATAAATGAATAAACAAATAATAAAGCAAATAACAGTAACCTTTTGACCTTGTGTAAACATATCATATTGCGCAAACAAATCAACTTCCTTCACCAAAACGATACTGAAAATCGAGCAACTAATAAGAAGCCTAGATTTACAGCAAACAAATATCAAAATACAAAATGCTTAAATAATGACCAACCACAAAATGCCCAAATCAAGACCAAACAGTAAATGGAAACTTACAAAGCAAGCCACAAAACCGAATCGGTGAAGGATTTGAACTTACTGTGATTTGTGCGAGCTTTATTGCAGGAGCGAGAGATTGAAGTTTGGGTGGAGAGAGATAATGTGGGTAGAGAGAGAGAGGGGCGGAAGATGGATCCAAGAGTTTGGGTGGAGAGAGAGAGGAGGGGGGCGGGAGTTGGAGAGAGAGAGGAGGGGGTGGGAGAGTGGCAGCAGGAGAGAGAGGAGGGGGGTTGCATCATGACTCGTGAGAAACAGCAGGAAAGAGAGAGGGGGCCTTTCCCAAATGGAGAGACTTCGGTTGTCATGCCCTCTGCAAATGTTAGAGGGAATTTATTTCGCGACTATAGCTTGAAGGAGAGCTTGAGGGAGAGTTCAGGACCGTGAGATCTCCATCGAGAAAACATGCAAATCACCACCGCTGGTGCATGACCTCCCCATCTCATTGGTTTCACAATAGTAAAAAGCTAGGGAACTTTAAAATTGTGAACCTCATCTGCTCCCCCAACCCTCCGTCCCATCTCACTGTCCCTCCCGTCTTTCTCTCTTCGTTCCTGGAAACAACTCCGTGGGTCCTCCCCATCCTTCCTCTCTCATGACTTCTAGGTATGTCTGAATTTCTATTTTTAAAAAGATAAGAATTTCTAGTTACATTTGTACTCTTTGTAGAATGAATATCATTAAGGTTTTGCATTTCAAAATTATGACGTCTCTCTTTCCCCTTTTTTTTTTTTTCCATGCTTTATCACTTGATGTTCTCTCTCTCACTCTTTCTCTCGCTCTCAATATATATATATATATGGAAAATGATCTTGTGAGTTAGTGGGCTCAAAAGAAAAAATAAGTCCAACAGCCCAGATTAAATCTAAGCCGATCTGATGATCACGGATGTTCGGTACTATTTAAATTTTAATTGACTTTTTACAAATCTAAGTCACTTGAAATTTTAGGCACGTGTTCTTCCCATCAATCTGTACTTAATAAAAATATAAAAAAATAATCTGCAAAAACAAATTGACACAATACCCCAGAAACTTTACAAGGGTATTTTGGTCAATTTTTTTGTAAAATATTTTTATTGATAATTTTTTGAAGATTCACCTATTTTAAAAAATTTCAAGTGATTTAGATTTGTAGAAAAAAAACATAAAATTCAAACACTATCGAGCATTCGTGATCGTCAGATCGGCCTAGATTCAAATTGGGCCATTGGGCTCATTTTCACTTGTGAGCCCACTAGCTCACAGGATCATTTATATATATATATATATTATTATTTTTTTTATTTTTCAGAAACCTATTATATCTTTTATGGCACATATCTATTAATTCTTTTGGAAATTTTTTTAAGTACAAGTTTCTGATATTAGTATTTTCTTTTGCTAAGTAATCATTTTTTAAATATTTTAAATTTATCTTTTCTTCTTGCAGGGTTAGAACATGAAAGTCTAAGTCTGTAACTTCAGGCTTCGAAGGCCTGGGACTTATCTGCTGATAGATGGGTTTATGAATATTATTTCGTGTTATGGAAAGTCCCTGTATTATAGGTTCTGTTTCAGAGATATCTACCCAAGATGTAGAATATCTTGGGGGTGTATAAATTTTCCTAAGTGGTTTTATTATACTGTCATCCAGAATGTCTGTTTTAGTCCTCTTTTCAGAGTTGAATTCTAGTTCAATCTCACCACTTGGATGCTCTATTATATGTCTTGGAATTTTATTTACTGGAGTAATATATTGTTGATTTTCATTTTGTATAGTCCATGTTTTTGGTAAAACTATTTGGGACCAGTTTATAGATTGGGGACTACTGTATTTGATTTCTCTACATTGGTTTGGAAGAAGATGGTTTGTCCTTTGGTATCTATTTGCAAAGCGTTAGGACATAGAGTATTCATTACCTTATAGCAGATTCTATAGATTAGAGCTATATTTTGTGATCCTGGGTTCATGTCAAAACCCTGGGTCTTTCAATTCAAGGTAAGTACTTTCAATAAATTTGGGTTATTTAAAGATACTTTCAATAAATTCAAGGTAAAGTACTTTCAATAAATTTGGGTTATTTAAAGATACAAAGAAGTTTGGAAAACAGTTAAAATAAACTGGACCACTGCAAAGGCTTGATTCTACAACTCATAATAGTGAGTCTGAAAATTTATTATGTCTACTGTCGCATAAACATAATAGTATTGAATTATTTAATCCTAACCTGGTAAGAGGTTTAAAAGCTATTTGGATTAATCCTATATGCAGATACTTATAATCTTTATTTGTATATGATTGCATTATTTTATTGAAAAGTAATTGAAAACTTTCCTGTTCACTGGTGACAGACAAGCTTTGCTCAACAGTTTTTATAGCATATCTTGTTTTGATTTCAAAAGTTCCTTTTTTATAGATGTCTGTTATGGGTACCTTAGGTATATTCCAATTTTCTATCTGCTTTTCTATATTTTCTATAACTACTCTTCCTTATTTTTGAGTCTTAAAGTACTCTTAGATGGTGTTAAAACCTTATTAGATAGGTTCCTTATAAAATTTTCCATTAGAGTTACGGATAATGACCTTTAGTCAACCTCTTATGTCTTTCACGACCTTAGTAGGAAGATACTACAAAACGCCTATAGGAAAAAATGAGTCGCGTGTTTACGATGCAAAATCAAAGAGATCTTCAGAAGACGATCCCTCGAATCTGAACATCACAAACTCATTTTTAAAAGATGATAGAGAAAGTGGGGAAAATCGAATTCTGATCTGAAGCCAGATCTGGTCAGACACAAGCAGATCTGCTCTCAAATTAGTGGCATTGCCACCATGATTCGAACTTTGAAACACTATAAAGTAGCAATAAAGTTAGTCTAATTTAATAAAGGAAAAAAGGAAGCAAGGCAGAGTAAAGAAGTATACCAAACCGGGCCAGATGGCTCGGGACTCCCAAGCCTTCGAGAGCTCGTTCGTATCAGAACAGGTGTCCTCTTTGCCTCTCTTTCTCCAGATTTTGACCAGGCCTTAGCCTGGTTGAATGGGTGTGTTGACCAGACCTTAGTCTGGTTGAAAAGGGTTTCTGCCCTAAGGATAGCTGAAGAACTAGGGTTTCTTCGGTTTAGGGTCTTCAAGCTAGGGTTTTTCTGACTTAATTCTTTTCTGACCTCTCCCTCAGCAGCCATGAAAAATATCCTTTTATAGATTGGGAATTGACTCAAAAGGGAAACTTACTATCACCAGCATATCATCAGCCTGAATCTGCCATTTCTAGGGTCTCAGGTCTAGGCGACACCAATGGTGTTGCCAAGCCAAAATTGGTCAAATTCAGGAAATTTTTCCCAAAATAGCTGGGGAGGACCTTTGGCATGCGGAACCTACTGTTTCCGGGCAATCAGAGCTGGGCAACACTAGTAGTGTCGCCCAAGTCAGGACTGCTCAAAAATGGAAATTTCTGATGCAAGGCAGATTCTAGTGCTGTCAAGATGTTGCCTGCCAAAAATCGTCCATTTTGGGTCAGTCTAGACTGGGCGACCTGGCAATGTCGCCCAAGCTAGGACTGCTCAAAATGAAAGATTTTTGTTTAGGATTGATCAATGCATTGTCCTATAAAAAAAAGACGATTTCGGGTCATACTAGGTTCGACATTGGTGGCATCGCCCATGGTGGGCGACACCAGTAGTGTCGCCCACGGTGGGCAGCACCAGTAGTGTCGCCCAGTCTGAGCTTGGCGACACTGCTAGTGTCACCCATACCAAATCTAACCAAAATTGAAAGTTTTTTGTTCAAGTGTGTAGTGCATGCTCTTGTGAAGGTTTAGGAGAAAATTTGGGTCAAAAAGAGTTATTTTACTATTTTTGGTTATTTTTATAGTAAAACAGGGTATTTGCATGATTCTGGGTCACATGGTAGGTAGTATGGTTCTGGATCACAGGGTAGGTAGAATGGACTATGGTTGGAGGTTTATTAGGGTAGTGTGGTCCTATGGGTTCAGGAAAACCACAGAATTTGCCATTTTAAAATGAGGTGTCTATAGTTGCCCCTATTTGGTACTCCCTGTCCTTCGAGGGACAAGTGAATGGCAAATAAGCAGACACTTTGGCATTCTCTATCTTTCAAGGGGCAGGTGAGCGACAAAGAAGGTGGCATTCCATGTCCTTCGTGGGGCAAGTGAACGACAAAATAATAGACATTTTAAATTTTATCCTGATGTTACGTGATCGGATGGCGCACCAACTAATCCTTTCAAGTCGTTGCACTCCCGAGTTCACCCACCTAGGGCATTTTCATCCTAGGGTTCTCAACGTGAAATATCGGTGAGTTACACAAGCTTGAAACTTGAATTGGATTTTCTGGCAATGCCAACTTACTTCAGGGGTTTTCACAATTTCAAACTCTCAAACCTGGCATTTTCTATGATTTACTTAGGGTTTCCTAAGGTCTTCTATAGGTTTTACTGCTTAGGAAAAGGCTATGCCAAGTTAATTCTGAAGAGAGAGATGAGGCGGCAACGCAGTAATCATCATATATGGGTGTCCAAGCTCCTTCGTTTTTTAAAAGTCTTTTTATAAATTTTGAAAACGAGGGGGAATTTTAAAATAGAACCCAGAACTTGGACAGGTCACGATTTTAACAAAGAAACTAAAGTTTTTGAAAACACAATACATATAATGAAAATTTTGAAATGAGAAAGATATTTCGAAAAACAAATTTTAGTTAGCAGTTTAGCTCCCACAACCATAGAGCCCTCTAGGCAATTTAATGTCATACATCGATGGATAATACACCCCACCTTTAACATCATACGGGGCTAGACAAATACACCAGACCTTTAACGTCATACTAGACTAGAAGTTTTCTGAATACACCCGACCTTTAACATCATACAGGGCCAGATGTTTTCTGAATATAACCGACCCTTTACATCATACGTGGCTAGATTTTTTCCTGTCTCGGCTCTTTTACGTTGCACGAGTTTGACGTTTTCCTGTTTCGGCTATTTTACATCGCATGAGTTTGACGCTTTCCTGTCTCGGCTCTTTTACGTCGCACGAGTTTGATGTTTTCCTGTCTCGGCTCTTTTACGTCGCACGAGTTTGACATTTTCCGATCTCTGCTCTTTTACATCACACGAGTTTGACATTTTTTTTTTCTGAACTAGATTTTGGTTGGTAGTTTAGGCTCATGCCACCAAAGAGCATATGAAAAGTTTTGAAATTTAATTAAAATGTTTGAAAAATACATGATAAAACGAAACTTGACCCTTGAGGCTCCAAAGTTGAGCGGGGCATTTTTTGCTAAAAGGATTTTTGGCTGACACTGGTGTGTTGCCCGGGTGGCACTAGTGGTGTCGGCCACACAGTCTGGGTGACATGGCTGGTGTCGCCCATAAATTTTTTTTTTTTTGGCTGAGAATGCCTTAGAAATTGAGCAAGAGGTTTTTGAAAAAAACAATTTGAGCGACACTAGTGGTGTCGCCCAGACTGGTGTACGGATTTGGGCGACACCCATGGTGTCACCCAGACCACCAACCTCCAATTTTTGAGATTTTTGTTTTGGAAGGTCTTGGGGTTGCTTAATCTCTCTGTAGGTCGAATTAGGAACCTGCAAAACA